GTTATACTTTTAAAAAAATAGAATTAAAATTAATTTGATAATAATAAAATAAAATAAATAGCCCAAGCCGGGCGACCGTATCACTTTGTCGCGGGTTGTATATTCAAAGATGAAGACAATAACGATAAAAAAAATGGCAATAACCATAACGCTCATCACTAATATTGACATTCACAATCTCGTTTACAATTATATTCAACAATTTATATTGAGCTCGAGGCCGTTTTTAAACGAAAATTTATTGTGAAAAAGCAACAAAATTTGAAAAAATGGTAGAAGAGATAGCTATTTCGGAAATCACTACATTTCCTCATCAGACTTCTTTCAGTAGGATTCGAACCGACGATCCCACTGACTCAGCCAGTTGCCTATGCACCGTGCTAAGTACGCCTTGTAAATTATCGTTTGCTTTTTTCCACTATTTTCATTTTTGTTATGCCAACACAATCAAGCGCAGCTATTCCGCTGCAATTCACTTGATTATGTGGTTGTTGGTATTGTTGGTTTTTGCTAATAATTCTATTTTTTTTTTGAAATGTTTAAATTTTAGGTGTGCTCGTCCTTAAGTTATTTGTTTTTGTTATTTTTTTGGCCTTTTATAACAATTATATTCAACAATTTATATTGAGCTCGGGGCCGTTTTTAAACGAAAATTTATTGTGGGAAAAATAACAAAAACAAAATCTCGTTTACATTTAAAATTGCAATTCACAATTCCAATTTAAAATATGAAATATAGGTTTGTGCTGCTGGGATTTTTGAAAATTTTGTTGACTGGGCATTTAAAGCATACTTTTTTCACGAAATTCCAAACGCATGCATATTTTAAAACATCTGGAATCCGCCACTCCATTTTATTATTTTCAATGAAGGGGTTAGACTCATAAGGATCTAAGTGACATTTTTTTTAAATATATGTTATACCCATATTTATATAGTTAAATATAGTGTTTATGTGGTGACAAAGAGTAAACATTCTTTGAATTAGTTAATTAACCTGCATTCATTTAGGCAAGAACCATTTAAAATGCATTTACCCAGAATTTAACCTTAACCTTAATTATCTTAAAAAAAATCAGATCTACTTAGATCCTTTTGATTCCAACCCCTTAAAATAGTCATTAACTCTTTCTAGCGGACTGATACACTTGTCTTCTTCGTCGAAAATTTTAAACATGGCGCAATGCAAAGTGCCTAAATTCCTACAATTCATTACAATTAGGGCTAAGCACCATAGATCTTCTTAGATCGCAGCGAGTGAATACCCGACGTAATAATAATAATAATAAAATAATGTAAAAAAAATATTTTTTAAAAACAAGCTTTTGTTTAACATGTGTGTTGTTTAACAATGAAGGGAATAAAATAAAGTAGTGTAACAAAAGATTTTTTATCAAGAAAAATTAAGAAGGGGCACTAAAATGAATAAAATAAAATAAGTTAAGCTTTCGTTAAAGTTACTAAAAGCCAAATAGTGAAAGGAGTTACTCAAACTCTAATGAAAATTACTAACAATTTGTACTGATTTACTTCGTTTTTAAAAAAGTTCGTCGCGTGAATAGCGAACCGCCATTTACATATCTGCATACATGCATACCAGGAATGTTTCGAATATTCGCATTCGCATTCGCAAACGCGGAGTTTCCGCATTAATTTTAACATTCGCATTCGCATTCGCAATAATCAATGCGGAGCTTTTGCGAATGCGAATGTTGTGCAAGTGCACCGATAAAACTTATATCTGGCAAACAAAATGACAATTTGTAGCCAATATTTTTTGCCTTTAGTGGTGGTAGTATTGCTTTAACAAAACTGGTCAACTTTGATAAAAATGTCTTTAAACATATTATTTCTTAAGCTATATAACCGAGCTATCAATGGGAAGTCATACAAGTTCCCACTTCTACTTGACCTTTGACGTACTTCAAAGAGAACATAGTCCTTTTAATAATATTTTGTTTTTGTTTTCTGTGCTTTAAATACCTGCATTTTGATTTGCTTTTGATGTTTCATACCGTCACCTTAATTCACAAAGGCCCTAACCAGCAAATTTGTTATTTTACAGGAGAAGCAAAAAACATTACGAAAATATAATCATTCGTACGGATAGGGCATATTAAAAAGTGGCATAACTCTGTGGTTTTTGGTACTAACACTTTAAAATTAGTAAAGGTGTATTTTAATATCCTACCAAAAGCTGTGAAAAATTCAGTGTCGAAAAAAGTGTTGGTTAGGGCCTTTGTGAATTAATATAATGATATATTCGTTTCAATCATTTCAAATGGGGCTCTTTGGGGAATTTATTTTTAGGAAAAATTTAAAAAACAGTAATTTTGTTTACTTGTCGGGCAATATTTTTGAAGTGAAACTTCTTAGGCGGCGGTATCGCAAAAATGGGGAGTGAAATTTTTAAAACTGAAAACGTTACATGAGTGAGAAGGAAGATATATGTAGGTAGTAGAGGGAAGGGGAAAAAAGAAATAAAGCGACGCATGACGGGTACGAGTACCTACATATGTATATATGTATATTTGAATGCACGTATGTACCCTGCAGCAAATCAAACTGGTTCCGAACTTGCGCTGAGCTAGGCTTATAAGGAACGGTACTGGTTCTTCATACATCGCAACGCAATGCTTTCAACTGTATTTTTTAACATGGCGATATCCTAGGAAATGAAAATTGTCGCCCTCTGCAGAACTTTTGAACTTGTTCTGAACTGGCTCTGGCTTAGACGGTTCTGAGACAGTACATATAGCAACATTTCCCAGATAGTTCAAAAAGGGTCACCTCCGAGCTAGAACAAATGTGGTTAGTTTTGAGCTGGTTCTAAGAAGTATAGAATAGAGCATTTTCTTTAAAGACTGTAATTAAATAAGCACGCATACAATTTTGTAAATGAAATATATTAACGTTTCTAACTGTGTTGGAAATTTGGTAGAAATCTTGAAACTGAAGAGTTTACAAGTATGCAGTTCTATAGCCCATTACATTTTAGTATAATTAATCGCGCTGATTTTTTATAACTCTTTTAACGCACGCTCTTGAAGGTATTCTCCTATCTAAATATTTTCATGTAAGATGCTAGATTACACTTTACTACACTAAGATTTGAATTGCTACAAAGCAGCATACTCGAAATATTTATGAAAAAAACTCGGATTAAAAAGTTTGAAATTTGAAGACAGTTTAAGAGTTCCATCAAGTTTGCAGCACAGTTAGCAATTTTGAATTTAAATGGCTTATGGAATATGAGACATACTTAACGAATAATATTTAAAATGAAGAACATTGGAAATTAAAAAAATCACTGCATAACTACACATTTCGGGTGCTCAGTGATATATTTACGTATGTACAGTAGCGGTCATATCAATAGCATTCCCATTTCAAAGTGAGATAGTTTACCACTTTTGTTAATTTTTTTTTTATCCGATTAAAATGTCAAAAATTTTGATGAAAAATCGTTAAATTTTCCTTTGTTTTTTATAAAGTTTGAAAACACGGTTTATATGATTTTGTTTACGCATAATCAACTTTTTTTTATAAAATAATAACAAACAAATTTTAACTATCAATATATTGAGACTTTTGTGTTAAGTGTAGCTTAACTAAATACTATGGTTACATTTTGCATTCAATTTTATACGTACATATATATGCATAAAAATTACAACAATGTTACCAATATCGCCTTTTTTTCTAAATATTCAAGCAGTTGCCCCATAAAGTAGAGAATTACATATTAAATAAACGAAAACAGTTTGCTATTAGTTTTAGGGTCTAAGAAAATCTAAAAACTAAAGTTTAGTACATTTGTGCATCTTTTGTCAGCTTTCGCATGACCAGGATGAGTAACATTGATGACAGCGCAACTAGCAACCATAAACGAATATGCGAATATTTGCGTTTGCATTCGTTATGCGGATGATTCGCATCATTTTACACATTCGCATTCGGCATTCGCATTCGAATATTTTGCGAATGCGAATGTGTACATGGGCAGAGAATCCACTCTAATGTTGTTGAAATGGCCCTAAGTGCGGGTGTGGACAATAACCGGTGTTTAGCTTCAGTCGCTAAACGGTTAAGTAGTATATCAAGCAACATTGATGGGCCTTTAACAAGTACTGCTAAGAGTCTTATAAGCAACCTAAAAATAATTTTAGATTCCTCCAGTGAAAGCGAAGGCTCGGATGTAGAGTCTGGAGACATTAGAAAATGTGCAATTAAAGCTGAATTGAAGGCCTATCTTAAAGAAAAACGAGCTTATCTCGGTGAAAATCCTCTCGATTGATGGAAAACTAAACTAAAATTACTTTTTTTGAAACATAATATGCCCCTTTTGAACTTTGACTACTAGATAAAACACTGCACTATAGTCTGGCAGTTGCTATTTGCTGGCCAAAAGCCGTTTTTTAGAGTATCGATAAATCGATTTCTTTATCCCTTCACTAAACTAATTCTCCAAAGTAAAAAAGTGCATACTCATTATTTTCTTAAAGAGTTTTGCCATTGAGATATAAGCTGTTAAAGTTGACATTTCTACTAAAAGCTTAAAATTTTATTTCTTTCGTAGTCAGTAACCATGTTTCAATAATACAAGGTTCGATAAACTGACAGTTGTCTCTCTCGCACCGCTCCCTTAGCAGTGGCACCGTGGTGCTTCTTTGCAAACTTACTTGGAAAAAGTGTAGCTTTGGTGTGAAATAGAAGTATAAAATTTGGGCAATATGTTTATTCGTATATACATATGAAGCATATTTAACTGATGAAAACATAAATTTTTTTTAAATCGGATGTTTACATAAAACTCGCAGTAGTGCTATATTAATTTTGAGCCATTTGCAGTTTTTATACAGCGAAATAGCACATAAATTACGTAATTCAAGTAGATACTGTAACATTACGTTCAATATTTCGTTTAAAATGCCAGATTTCCTGCAAATACATTAGAATTTACAAAAGGAATTTCACTACTAATTGCCTACTTTGCGTACTTTTCTACTACCATTTACACACCAAGGGATTTCATTCTTCGTCTTTCTCCGTCCTTCGTAAATGCAACCTTTTGTAAGGGAGTGTCAAACCGCGGCTGTCAATAATTATCTAACCTTGTATTATTGAATCATGGTCAGTAACCTTGTAGTTCGAAATGGTATGAGTCTCCGAGAGAGTAAGATACTTCAAAAAAGAGAATGGAAATGAATATTAACAAAAAAGAAAACTAACATATGTATAGCTTGATAAAAAAAAATTAAACTAATTTTTAAATGGACTCTAATTTGAAGTAGAGCTTTAAAAAATTGGATTCATTTGGCGATATTCAAGCTTTGTGAGCAATAAAAATGCTCAATTTAGAGTTTATGAGTTGAGAATCATGTTGCACTTTTTTGCATTCTTTTATTAGAGAAGGTGTGTTTTGCCGTGCTTTGCGTATGAAAAGCAGCAGTCAACAAAGATGCAAAAAACTGCTGTTTTAAACATTTTGCTGCGAAATATTATTAAACGGAGCACATCCGCAGTATATAACAACTACATAAAGGAAATATCAAGAATGATATGCAAGTTTCAAATCAATTTGGTTACTTCTCGACTTTAGGCCAGCAAATGATAGTCGCCAGACCAATGCACTGTATAGGTTACGCACTCGTTCAATGTTCTAATAATTTACAAAATTCTTAATTAATAAAAACGATGACTTAAGTCGATTATAGCTTTTTTAATGTTATTCCTAACATTCGCACATTCGCATTCCGAAAATTCGCATTTGCGAATGGGAAAAATATGACATTCGAAACATCCCTACTAGCAACATACGAGTTTCAACAGTCCAGCTCTGCATTCCTTTTGCAGTAGTTCAGAGACAGTTCTGAAATTTGTAGGGCGGAACTAGCGCTTTGCCAGACTGTCTCTAAATTTTGCTGCAGGGTATGTATTAAAGAGCTGCGCAAAACCTTCTAAAAGGCACACTTTACTACTATGCAGTACTTCCAAGCGGCGTACTACAGGAGCGTTAACAGCAACACAGAATATATATATAGAATATTCTATAGCAAGCTGCGCAACAATACAAACACTTCAACATTCGAAATAGAATTTGCTACAGCGACGATAGCGCTTGAGTTCTGCGGTGAAGCAAATTGTAAAACCAAAAAGAAGGGTTGAAGTTAAATAGCGGCAAATCATAGCAAGACAACCGAGTGCACTAGAACAGTGTCCGCCAAAAAGAGAAAAATCTTAAAATGAGAATGTATTAGTTATGAAATAAAAAATGAGAATGCGCTGGTGGTAATGCACGGAAAAAAATTTCTGTGTTGTATTACTTATTATAAAAACTTTGGTATGTTTTTCTGCCGTTTTTTCATTGTGCGTTTTTTTTAGATCTAAACAACATAGAAACATATATGGGCAATTCACAAGGTGTATTTGTCGTGTTTGTCGTGAAGTCATGATATTTCATGACAGTTGTAAAAATGTTGTTATTGTTTTGTGAAGAAAAATAACACATGACGATACAACTCTGCAACCTATGTTTATTCGGTGTTATGTGAGGTTAAGTGCTGAGATATAATAAATAATCGTAACAGGTGTTCACAACCGTCGTGTTTTAACACAACTTTTGTTAGGAAAATATAACTTCACAACACCTTGTGAATTGCCCATATATGTTTCTATGTTGTTTAGATCTAAAAAAAACGCACAAGGAAAAAGTTGGTAAAATTTTGTATGTATTGTACAAAATTATTATTATTTTATTTATAATTTAAGTGTGGATTTCTGAGCAAAAAAGATACTCTGAATATTAAAAGAAAATTCGTTGATTTCAAGTAGAAATAAAATGAAAATATATATATCTAATATAAATTTATTTTAAAATTAGGTAAAACTTGACGTTTAAGAACAGTTTAAATAACGACTAAACCAAAAGATAAATAACAAAACATATTGTATGTTTTAATTGAGGACTAGTCTGGTATAAAAAAAAAATACATAATTCACAAAGTTCTTTTAATATGAAGAAAAAGCACGACTTGGTTCCATATACATACCTATTTCTAGGGGTGTATGTACGAAAAATTGTGTTATAAAATTTTTGAATGAATATTCATTCATTCTGCTCCGTGTACCTACTTTATTCAACAATAATGCGTCATCAACCTGCTTCGCCTATTATTTGCATGCAACTAGAGCTGTGGCAAACCGTATGTATTCGTTACTGAGTAACGAATACAACCCCTGACTCGAAGTACCGAATCGTTACTCACATAATAATCTCGTTACTCGCATGTTCCGTATATGCACCATCATCGTGAATCAATACAACACAATATATTGTTCGGTAACGAAACTGTTTTTCGTATCGATACTAAAGTGTNTAGAGCTGTAGCAAACCGTATGTATTCGTTACTGAGTAACGAATACAACCCCTGACTCGAAGTACCGAATCGTTACTCACATAATAATCTCGTTACTCGCATGTTCCGTATATGCACCATCATCGTGAATCAATACAACACAATATATTGTTCGGTAACGAAACTGTTTTTCGTATCGATACTAAAGTGTGTAGCGTGTGTATATACGTACATGCATGCATGATTCGTGTGAGGTACAAGTGCTTGATTGTATCAAATTGTTCGAATCGATACAAAACTATGTTGCGTGCATACATATGTATATACGTACATGCATGCATGATTCGTGTGAGGTACAAGTGCTTGTAGTACAGAATCGTTACTCACATAATAATCTCGTTACTCGCATGTTCCGTATATGCACCATCATCGTGAATCAATACAACACAACATATTGTGCGGTAACGAAACTGTTTTTCGTATCGATAATAAAATGTGTTGCCTGTATATATACGTACATGCATGCATGATTCCTGTGAGATATAAGTGCTTGATTGTGGCTGCATTTCTTTATTCATTCTGAACGTTTGGAATAATTTTTTTTGTTTATTTATTCTTTAGAACGTTCCTGGTGATATGTTGACGTATATTTCAAACGCATTATGCTTATTCCGGCTGTGAAATGGGATTATCCGGAATGTTTAAAGAAACGCAGCCTGTATCAAATTGTTCGATTCGATACAAAAATATGTTGCGTGTATACATATGTATATATGTATGTACATGTATGCATATGGAAGAACGATCATTTCCTTACGCTGCAAGATTTGCTGCGATGATTCTTGTGAGGTAGAAGTGCTTGTATCAAAAGTAACGAGTAAAGTAACGATACGAAAGATACGGGTGTTGATTGGATTAGTAACGAATACATACGGGTATCCGAAATTTCGTTACTTTTACAGCTCTACATGCAACTAAATAAAATGTGTTGCTCTTCTACTCTTTCTGTTGACGTTCGGATTGTGTACGTGTAAGAAGCCGATTGTGTACATGTGAAAGGCCGAATATAGTTCGTTTCCCAGGAAAGTGTTTGGCGGGCACTGCACTAGAACATTTGCATGTATGTATGTATAGCAACTCATTACCAATTGTTAGCGCAAGCCACGCAGTTAGCGGTCATCGTCAAGACACATAGATACATAATATATGTACATATACCTAGGAGCAGGCAAAATCGCAGATGCTAATGCAGCGTTTTTGCTGCATTTAACCCTTTATAACTCCACTAAATAAAAAAAGTAAAATCATACGGATTCTAATAGATTTTAGTAAAAAATGAAACACGTATTTTTTAATTTTCAAGATTTTTCTTTTATTTGGGGAGGAAACAGCCAAAAAGGGAGTGTAACAGATATGTCACATTATGTGACAACTTCTCCAAAAAAAAAAACAAAAACAAACACATTAGCATGTATGGAATAATTTAAAGCAATTGTTCTGCTTGTTGTAGCATACAGCTACACATTTTTCACATACCGTTTGTGACACTCCACTGCATCCTGGGCGCTTGCAACGGATTCTCTTCTCGGCCCATACTGGCCAGTGCCCAACTTGGTCTTGTCTAACTGCAATTAGAGGAACATGTTGAGCAGGTCCCTTATGCTTTTTCGCTTGAATATCCGCTTCTATTCCACCTCTGCGTTTTATGGTTGTCTTTGTACCTAATTTGCACAGGACCGTAGCAACCTCCAAACGAAAATCTGCTGATGACAACTGATTGTCCTGCACATTCTTTTCTTTGCGAACTCTTTTGTATAAGAGCCAAGCATTAGACATTGCAAAATCTAAAAAGTGGTAAAACAAGCGAACTTGCCATCTTTTACTTCTCAACAATATTTTGTAGCGGCCCATAATGCTGTCGATGAGATCCACCCCACCCATGTTACGATTATACTCGGTCACTATGTAAGGTCGTTCAATAGTAATATATTTTTTGTTGGCCTTATCATAGCGCCGTACTTCGGACTTCGGTAGCTCACCAGCAAAACTAGATGCTAGAGTAACAGATTTTTTGTCCTTCCAAACAACGGAAACTACATCTACTCCTCCCACATTTGCAACATATTCGACGGAGTGCCCACGACCCTTTTTAGAAATATCCTTATCTGTCGGCAATTTACACTCAGGTATTCTATTTCGACGTACTGTTCCTAAGCTGAGGATCCCTTCCTTGGCCAAATATTCTATCAGTGGCAACGACGTAAAATAGTTGTCAAAATTGTCATCTTAGTTTAAGTTGCAATTATATGACATGTATATAACTCTGTGGCATCACTGAACTTTTGACATTTTACTTTGTACGTTTGCTTTTCTGCTAATATGTTTCTTTGAGTTCCATTATTCTTGTACTCGCCACAGTCAGTTGTATTTGAACATCCAAGGAATAAACATTCAAGAAAATATACCGACAATCCTGACAGAATTCAGAAGGGGGTAATGAAACCCATACGCGCAGTGAAAAGTAAAAGAAAAGAATAAGAAAAAAAAATAATAATAATAATTTGTTAAAGCGCCGCGCGGGTATGAGTGTAGAAAAACTCACGATAGTTGAGTTGAAAGAAGAGTTGCGAAAAGTAGGAGAAACAACGATGGGCAATAAATTGGAATTGGTTGCGCGGCTGCAACAATTTCAATCGAAACACAGAGCCAGTTCAACGAAACAAGCACCGATAATGGAGAATACGGAGGAGCAGAGGCAGCAGGCAGTGGACGTTCCAGTAGCGCATGAGGACACTGAGGTGATGAAATTGCGCAGCGAGGTAAGCGGGCTTCAACGTACAATGGAGACGTTATCTCGTCAATTTCAAGCAGTGTTAGACGCATCGACGCTGGTAAATCACACGACGGCAGTGCAGCATATTGCTCCAGAAAATTCTTTTGCATATTCGCAAAATTCTGTGTCGCTTGCGCTTGCATGGTATTGCTGAGCAATACGAAAATCCACCCCGATTGAATATGACTGAAACGCCGACAGCATACAGTTTGCCTGTATGTGCAACGAATAGCATTAGAGAAGCGAATTTCACAACGACGGTTACAACAACAAGCGCCGTGTTGTCGCCAGTAGTGTCGCCGCCAAGAGCAAGTAGCTTTGGGCATGTTGTTGGCCCAACGTATGTTGAAAATATTCAAATGATGCGTGGTGAAATTGCGAATGGTGGGGCAGGCATAAACGAGAATGACACATACGAATGTAGAAGAAGTGTTGTACGTGAAATAAATGACATTTTGCCAGACTTTAACCCGTGTAAGGAGGATATGACATCAATGCAATTCGTAGAGCGGGTTGAACAATTAAAAGATGCATATCGATGGAATGACAGTGTGTTACTTTTTGCTATACAAAGTAAATTTAAAGGTGTTGCAAAGCTGTGGGTCGACTCGCAACCCATATTTAAACAGTGGTAACAATTTGTAACTTCATTTTTAAATGATTTTCCGTGCATAATGAATAGTGCAGACATTCACATACAGCTTATGCACACGC